AAAAAAGAAAAAAACATCTGAAAGGAGATGTGGAGAAATGTGCTGAGCCCTTTGGATCTCAGTGCTGGGGCTCTTGCTGGCTGCATTCGTTTTTTGTTCCTATTGTTGAAGAGTTGCCAGCACAGGGGTGGTGCTGGGCTGGAGGTGGCTGGGGAACAGCACCAGGGTCATGGCAGAGCCCACAGGTGTCAGCACCAGTTGGGGCTGAGCAAGCCGTGATGCACCTGGCAGTGCGATGTGGGTTATCCTGCTCTTCACAGACATCCTGGCGGGCCAGGGAGCCCTATGCAGGAGTCCCGGACTGGGGAGCACTGCCCAGTCGCTCCTTTTTTTAGAGGCAGTTCCATTCCCGAGGGGGCACATGCAGCCGGAGGGATAAAAATAGCTGTTTGGAGCCGTGGGAAATGTGCGTGCCCTGGTGCTGGCTGCTCACTGTGTGCTGGCTGTGCTTGTGGGATTGCACTGATGCCAAGGAGCATGGGGAGGGGAAGCAAGGGATAAACACCTAATAATTGGGACCCGGCACTGAGCAAAGGTGCAAAGGCTTCACCTTGCCAGATTTTAACAAAATAAATCAATTTAGGCAAACTGTTGTTGTGAGTGATCTAGGCTCAGGCCTGTCTTTGCGGTGGGGGGGGAGGATAGGTTGGTTGACCCTGAGCTGATGGGGGCACATATGTCCCCTCCCTACAGCCTCACGAGCATTGTGTGATCCATGGAAGGAGAGTGGTGATGTCTCGGACAGTGGCAGCAGCACGACCAGCGGGCACTGGAGTGGTGGCAGCGACATCTCTACCCCTTCACCCCCCTACCCCTCTGGAAGCCCCAAGTACTCCAGTGAGGGCATGAGCTCTCCCCAGGTGGATGATGGCTTTGAGACTGACTCTGATCCCTTTCTCCTTGATGAACCCGCTCCACGCAAGAGAAAGGTACTGCTGCTGTGGCAGGGGGTCCCAGCACCGGTAGGGTGGCTTGAGCTGAGCCGGCATCCTGTTAGAGGGGATGCTGCTACCGGGCAGGGAGTGACATAGGCTATCTCTCCACCAGAACTCAGTGAAGGTGATGTACAAGTGCCTCTGGCCAAGCTGTGGCAAGGTCCTGCGCTCCATTGTTGGCATCAAGAGGCACGTCAAGACCCAGCACCTTGGGTAAGGCGAAGATTTCACCTTCTTAATCCCTTCCTGATCACCGAAGCCTTGCATCCTGCTGCTGTTGTAATTTGTAATTCCTGCAGCAAATATTCCCAGTGTCAGAGATACTGGCCTCTGTGCACTGAGTTTGGCAGTTCTCAGCCATGTTACAAGAAGAACTGTTGCATGTGTTCCCACCTTCAGGGAGCCCAGGGCTCTCTGGGAGGCACGGGAGCCCCATTTAGGATTTGGGATTGCCCAGCTTGGGTGTGCATTTTTTGCTGGGAGGGTTCGGGTCACTCATGAGCCCTGGGCACATGCAGAAAGGCATCAGCCTCACTGGGTTTCGAAAGGGATGCCAACCAGAAAGCTGTGCCTCCTGCATCCGTTGTGTCTGGCATGAGCACCCATATGCCAGTGGGGTGGCTGCCCCTTTGGCATTTTGCTTTGCTTTGTCGCAGTCTCTGAATTCCCCCAAAATACAAGGTGGCAAGGCTGTGGGGATCACTTTGTTGTGCTCTGCCACTGTGGGCCTGTGGCACTTTGCACCGCAACCTCAGTTTTCTCATGCTTTTGTCCATGTTCTCCAGTGGGTTTTTTTTCTCTCCTGCCTTGCGAACATGAACACTGGGAAATGCCAGGATAGAAGGGCTGGACTGCCATCCAGTGCCAGCCAGATAAACATGCTGGGAAAATAATCAAAAGGACTTGAGAGCTGTTTCCTGCTGCGTGAACTGAAAAAGCTGTGCTAAGTGAGCTTGATTAGGAATGAGCAGGGGATTTTCAGTGGTGCCTGGTCAATATGCCAGATTTTTTTAAGGCCCGGGAAGAGGTATTGATCTTCCTTGCAAACGTGAAGTGTTGCTGCAAGGGCAGTGGCTGTTACTGATCACAGCTGATGTGTCGCTTTGGAGTCTGAGAGTGGAGCTGCTCTGGCTGAGAAGACAAGATCACTCTGCCCTGGGAAGTCAGGGGCCACTCAACTTGATGGAAACAGGGATGCTGTTTTACTGATGTTCCCCTTTCCTCCTGGCAGGGACAGTGCAGACTCCGACCAGCGGAAGCGAGAGGAGGATTTCTACTACACTGAAGTGCAGGTGAAGGAAGAACCAGCACCAGAGGTGGCTGCCACCACCAGCCCCGTACCCACATCTGCCCCCATCATCATCCAGCAAGCCCTGGCAAAGCCAGAAGCATTGCTGGTGGAGCAGCCAGTGCTGGAGCCTGCCCTGGCCAGCAGTGCCCTAAGCCAGTCTGCCCCCAGCTCCTTCTGGCACATCCAGGCGGATCACGCCTACCAGGTGAGCTGGTGGCATCTCCTGGGGATGGGTCATCTCCTGAAATCTTGGCAAAGGGCAGGTTGTGATCCTGGTTTTGCTGCAAGTCCTTGCTGCAGCCAGGGACATTTCTTTGCCACTCCCACATTGGAGGGGCTTTGGTGCCGATGTAACACTATCCCCTGCCTGGCTGTCCTTCAGCCCTTGAGTAACCAGCTTCATTAATGCCCGGTTGAGTGGTTTATGTGCTCCTGCCACAGCTCCTTGGCTGGGGTGAAGCTGCTGGCCTCTGTTCCCCTGCAGTTACCCTGTGCTGGTATGCAACACGCCCTTCTGCCGGCTGATAACTGGTGCTGGAATGCAGCCGCGCCGGATCATGCACGTCTCTGCTGCACGCTTGTTGCAGAGGGCGCAAGCTTTGAGGCACAGGAAATCTGGGCACTTCGAGTGGTGGCCCTGTGGGCCAGTGGTCCTTGTCGCAGGGGCTTCTTGAGAGTAGAGCGCTTTTCTGGAGCTGCCAGCTAGTGCAGGGCAGGATCCATAAGCTGCAGGTATATCCATTTCCTGTCCCGGGGAAAGGATGTGATGTGCCCCATGTTAGCAGGATCCAGCACTGGAGGAGAGCTTGCATGGGGTTTTCCATCCTGCTCCAGGGCTTGCAGTTTGTGGGTGCAGTAGATTGGTCTTTGCAGGGAGATGAAAGCCTATGGGGCCACACATGGGAAGTGGGGGCCCCTGAGGCAAATGCTGGTCCCTCCTTTCCCCCGCAGGCATTGCCTTCGATCCAAATTCCAGTGTCCCCCCACATCTTCACCAGCATCAGCTGGGCTACTGCCACCTCAACCCTTCCATCCCTGTCACCGGTGAGTCCTGCATGTGCTTCCCCTTCATCCTCGTTGGGGGGCAAGGCTGGGCTGGGAGCTGAAGGGGGACCTTGTCTTTGCTTTATTGTTCCCTACTTAAAGCGTCCAGATCTGGGGACTGGAGACATGTCTCCCGCTACCCTGTTGCAGCACCCAGGGGCTGCACAGTAGAAGGGCTGCATCATTCTGCATGCCCTTCAACACCCGATTTCCCACAGATGCGGAGCCGGTCACTCAGCTTCAGTGAACCCCAGCCACCAACGCCGATGCTCAAGTCCCACCTGATTGTCGCCTCGCCACCCAGGGTGTCCATCGGCACTAGGTGAGGGTCCCTCTGGCCAGAGGGGAGCAGAGGTGGAGCCCATCAGCAAAGGGATCTTCTCATGCAGCTCTGCTGAGGTGTTCTGGCGCAATGCTCTGCTGCCTTACCCCTTTGATACAGGACCCAAGTTCTGCAACAAGTTGGTAAATGTTATTTCTTATTTTCCCCTTTTGCAGAAAAGTCCGCGGTGAAGCCAAAAAGTGCCGTAAGGTTTATGGCATCGAACACCGGGACCAGTGGTGCACGGCCTGCCGGTGGAAAAAAGCCTGCCAGCGCTTCCTGGACTGAGAGCAGCACTGCACTGCTGCATCCCTCCCCTGCTCCTGCCTGGGAGCACCGGAGTTTCTCACTGCTGCAACCAGGGACCTTGGAGGTACCTCCTGCAACCCCAGAAGATGCCTCCAGAGCTGCGTGTAAATTCCTCCTCCTGTATATTGTACATCTGCTGGGTTTGCTCTGTTTTTAAAAAACCTTTTCCAACTTTTTTCTTTTTTTAACCTGGAGAATATCTCCCTTTATACGGTAAAAGCTTGAGCTGGGAGGGAAGGAACCTGGTTCCTCAGGGTTCACAGGAGATTGTAGGTGATTTGGGGACCAAAGAGCTTCCTGCATTTCCCAGATCAGCCCTAAAATCTCCCAAACTGCCACAGCATGGCTGAGGTGAGGCGTCGAGGCAGCTTCCTGTGTCCTTTGACTACCTATAAAAGTGCAAATCCCTTGTATCCTTTAAGGGAGGGGGTTTGTAATGATTCTAGCTTTAAGAAAGAAAATGCCATTGGATTGCTGCAAACCAGGCGGGAGCCATTCTCGGAACAGGGGTTGGAGGGTTCTCTCCCCCTGTGCCTGTGATCTTTCTGAGGTCACATCACACCGGTGGCTTGAGCCTGCACATGCCTCCACTCAGTTCCACCATGTCATTTTTGGAGATGTCTTGGGAGGGGGAAACATCCAAAACACTTTAATCAGGAAAACTATGAGAATTTTTAAGGCAAAACCTACATTTTAGGTTTTGTAAGTCTGCTTAGCTCCATGACAAATTCAGATTTTGGTGCTTTCCATGTCTTTCAGAACGAGGCTGAGCAATTTTACTCTTTTGTAAATTGAATGATTCCACCAGTAAAGGCAGCTGGGAGGGCTGGGAAGGCCAAATACTTCAATATTGGCTTTTGAATCCCATCAAGCCTGGTGGCAGTCAGTTTTCTGACTTCCATCCTTTAAAATCTGTATTTACCCAGTCAAAATTGCTGGTGGTCTCCTGTCACTGTTGCTGCTGTCTCTGCTCTACCAACAGCACTGGCAGGGCATCGTGCTTGGTGTCAGACTAGGATGCATGTGGCCCCGGAGCCAGATTCCCCGTCACTGGTTTTCTCCCCTCACTGGGGCAGGCAGCTGTTTGGATTTGTATTACTTTTTTGCTGCGTTTTTGATAATCACAGTCTATAACCTGCAGCCATCGAGCCGAGAGCAGTCCCTGTGCTCAGCTTGAGCCCGAGCTGGTTTTAAGGACTGCGCCACAAACCAAGTTCCCTTTTGGAAGCAAATCAAGTGGCTGAGAGAGTCCAGTATTGCTCCCAGATCGCCATGAACCCTGCTGCTGAAGGGATCAGGTGGGCAGGCAAGGCAGGTTGAGATCCATTTATATGTAATCCTGGTGCTTGTCAGTGTGTTTGGGTATTTGTTGTTCGTTTCTACTTCTGTACATGTAAACAGTGTTTCATCCTGCAGCCTGATCGCTCTGGTATCCAACTGGCCAATCAAAATTTGGCCGCTGGAAAGCCAGAGGGAAACACCCCAGGCAGGGAGTGACCCCATGGGGTTCCATCCCTGAGTGCATCTAGGCACACTGGATCATATTCCAGGAAGAGAAGCAGTTTCGCTCCTTTGGCCGCTTGTTCAGGCTTCCAGTCCTGCTGGAGTACACAGTTAGGAGTGAAATGTCAGGAAAAGCCATTCCCGCTTCTGTCAGCATGTGTGCTGAGCCTTTCAGGAAGGGCACTGGGATGTTGGGGTGCAGGGTTTTGGTGATGCCGGTGGCTGTCAAGAAGCGAGCCAGTGCTTTGGGAAGTCCACGTAGCACCTTGCTGTGTTACCATTTTTCAAATATTTTTAAAATTTGGGCTTGAAGCAGCGGAAGAAAAGAAAAAAAGGGTGGATTTGTGCATTCCTCAGACCACCTTTGCCTCCACAACACAGAGACCAGACAGGACCGGAGATTCTATTTCTTGCTTTTTATGCCCTTTCCACCCCAAATGAGATGGGGCAGAGCTGGATCTCTGGTGGCACTGGCCAAGCATGGCTCAGCCTCCCGCTGCACTCAGTCACTCTGGGAATCATCAAACCAAGCCATTGGGGTGTAGCACCACCTCCTCCCACCACGCACAGCACTTACTGCCCAGCAGCGGTGCTGACCTGGCATCAGAGCATTTGAGCTTGGTACCGTTTTATCAGGGGTGCAGGTACAGCTGCTTTTCCAAGGGCTGCTGTGGTACGGATAGAGCTGAGCAGGGTTGTCCCTAATGCTCATGGCGCTTTTCTGTTAGGTTTTTATTTTTAATGGAGAAACTGGTGCAGGGTGGGTTGGTTTTATTTTTTTCTTTCTGGTTTGGGAGTATTTTGGAATTTTTACGCTTAAAACCAGAAAAATCTTCTCGTATTTTTGCAGAAATGACAGCAGGCTTCCACCGGGATGGTTGGCATTGGATATATATTTTTATAAATATTTTCCTCTTTATTATTTCCCTTTCCTTTTATTTTTTAACTCACTTCCAGCCACCGCCCAACTGTTGGACTTTTCTTCCCGACACTTGAGTCTCACTGGTCTCAAGAAAACTCTTCAGCCTCAGTTGCGACACATAAGTCCCATGTGGAGAGTTTTCCCTCATCCCCGTGACTGTCTCCCAGAGCGTGTATATGTATGTACATAGGAACCTCTTAACTGGGCACTAATTAGAGGCTGCTCCCCCTTCTCTGCCAGGACACATGGCTGGTAGGGGTAGCTGGACCCCGACTGGCAAAGTGGGTGTGTTCAGTGCAGGGTGACACCATGTTGTCACTGCTGCCATCAGTGGGGACTGCAGGGTGCTGTCACAGGGGACACTTGGCCTTGTGGCCGTGCCACTGGCCAAGTGGGGACGGTGTTGGGTTGAGTGAATTTTCTGTTTTCTTGGAGCTTTTTTAGCTGTCTTCCGAGTATTATTTTTATTGTTAAAAAAAACCCCACGAAAGAAAAAAGGGGGGAAAAAAAGTTAAAAGAAAAATGTGAAATGTAATTTTTACAGCAGCAATATGAAATATATTTTATAAGAAATAAAAAGAAAAGTTGCCTGATGCCTCGCTGGTTCTGCCTTGTCTTTGCAGCCCCAGTGTCACCCCCAGTGTCAGCGGGTGCTCGCATGTCCCCCCGTATGTTGTGGTGGCACTACCACGGCTGCTCAGCCTCAGCCGGAGAATTCTCGTGGCACAACCCTTC